AATGTCATCTATTAAAAAAAATTATATTGTATTTTTAGGGCAACCAGTGATTATGACGACTGAAGGTGGGTCAGATACTGAAGTAAAAGAATCAGAGAAGCTGAGGACTAACACAGTAAGTGAAAATGCTGGGGATGCACCAGAGAGTCAAGAAGATCAGAAACAAATAGAAGAAGGTTCTCCTGTCCTTCCAACTACAGCTACCCAAAAAAGCCCTAAAAGCTCAGGTGGAAAGGGCATTTCTCGTTTTATCCCCCCCTGGCTTAAGAAACAAAAATCATACAGCGTATCAGAACCCAAAGATGAAACTAAGAAAAGAGAGCATCTAGCATCAGAAGAAGAAACAGCAGTGGAGGAAGGAGAATGTCATCTTTCAGAAGAAGAAGCTCGATCTAAAGGAAAATTATCGGACATTTCTGAGAATCTTCAACAAGCTGAAGTGGGTGGTGATAAAGAAGAAAAACATGTTGAGTTACAGGTACATCCTAGAAAGAAAAAAACAAACTTTAGGAAGCACACTTTAATGGCTTCAGCATTGTTGTGGCTTTTGTTACGTTACATTTTCTTTTTTATATATTATTGTTTATTGTTTTATCATAGAGAATAAAATACAAACAAAACAAAAGCATATATTCAATCCTAACAACAATAGAAAAGAAAAAAAATAGTGTACAAGAAAGAAAAAAGTGATCAATTAAATTTAATATGTAGGATCCACCCTGGCTGTGTACTGAAAGAAAAGAAAAAGTAGTAAATTCTCCTCCCCTTTTACTACTTACCTACCTACATATATATAAAGGAAAAAGTCAACAGGTTGAGCTAAACATTGCACTAATCTTCAAATCCCTCTGTTAATCATTTGTTATATTTAGGGTGTAGAAAGTCTACAAATGGTTTCTCCTCCATTAACTCTAATCAAATCAGTTAATTTCCCATTTATGCTAGTTCAGTCAATTTCAAAATCCATTCTTCAACAGTTGGCATCTCTTTTTCTTTTCAGTATTTGGCAAGTACAATCTTCACAGCCGTCACCATGTGAAGGAATAGCACCCCAAATTGTTTTTCAATTGGCTTGTCCATTATACCTAAAAGTAAAGCTTCAGGTTTCATTAATATTTGTATCTTAAATATTTTTTGCATTGTCATTGTTATGTTTATCCAGTATGTTTTCACGTATTTGCAAGACTGCCACATATGATAAAATTAACCTGGATTTTGATTACATCTCCAGCACTTATTGGAAATCCCTTTATATATTTTTGCTAGTCTATCGAGGGTCAAGTACCAACGATACATCATTTTGTAAAAGTTTTCTTTCAAATTATAATTTAATGTGAATTTTAGTCCCTGTGTCCATACATTCTGGACGACTGTATGTTACATTTTCTTTTGTTAATATGAATTAACGCCATTCATTCTGGGGTGTACTTTGATTTTGCAATGAATCATACTGTGTGTTTGTCTTGGCATATAGTCATGTGGGCCACATTACCCCGGAAATGTCTTCAGACAACACTGGCTTCCTTGGCTAGGAAACAGAGATGAGCACTGCCCCCTAGAGTCAGACACGACTGGACAGGGGAAACCTTTACCTTTAAATAAAAAACAGTAAGACAAATAATACTGTGTAATGTGGGTTGTTGGGTAGGTTGATGACAGGTCTCCATTGGTTTCTGAAGGCTGTCTGAAAAAGGTCTGTTCTGAAATCCAAGGATTTTGGCACGGAGTGTTTGCAGTACAAGGTGTGCAAAAATTCTGCTTGGACTTCAGGACAGATCTTTTTCAGCCAGTGTCGAGACAAAAGGACTCCCTCTTGTTTCTGCAGCTGGCTAAAAATGCCGCATGCTGCAGATGTTCTGTGTCAAAATCCTCCTTGGATTTCAGGATGGACCTTTTTAGCCATTCCCCCAAAATGAGAGGCACTTCATGCTTCTTATCTGAGAGTTTTTCTGCTTAAAAATCCACAAGATTGATTTGTAACTGCAACTGAATATGCTGAGATTTTGGCCACTGAGTGAAGTAGTCATGTGACATCTTGCTTAATGACTGCTTTTTTCAATGATCAAGATTCCAGTTGTGGCACAAAAACTACCTGTATTTGCCATCAAATTGGTGTCACTTTTAGAGACCATGTAGATAAATTTTCTCCAGGATTTGGGTAGGTAAGTAAAACACTTTTTTTTCAAACATTGTATCTTTGGTACATTTTTTTATTTCAAACCCGATGATGTCATTAAATTTTTCAAATATATTTAACTATGAAAATTTTCAAAAAAGTCTCTTTTTAGCTGCTTAGTTCTGGTTTCTATAATCAGCATTATAAAACAGGAAAATAAGGATTTGGAGTTGTAGTTACCCCCAATCAGTTTCTTTCTCATTGTAATGTATTAATATGATTCAGTTTTCCACAACCTGGTGCACTTTAATCTGTAAGCCAATTACAACAATGAAAAACATATTCAGGTTGCATCATCCTTGCTTTTTCTCCATTGTAATTCTTTTTGCTCAGGTCCTCCCCCTCCATCACCAATTTTGCCCAGCTCAAATTTATATAATTTGTTTTTCAAACATATGAAAATAGATGTTAAGCAACTTGCTTAGATGCTGCAATATGTATGATAGGTAGCAGCATTCGTGGCTCCTTTTATTGTAAAGTCTTTTGAATTCATACCCTATTTGTGACTACTAAGAAGCCTGCAGGTAGCTGCTGCTTGAAGCAGAATAGGCTAGCTGGATAGATAGTTTTTATTCTTAAAGAATGAAATATGTTTACTTGTTTGTATAGATTATTCAGTGATTCAGATTCTGGCAAAGATGTAGAATTGATGAAGAAAGACAAAATGAAACTAGACTTGTAACTAGATATTATTTCCAAATGAACAAACTTAAGTGTGCTTCCACTTGTACTTCCTTTGCTTCTGTTTGCCCTCCAACAAAAGAAATAATTCTTTTTTTAATAGTTGGGTAAGCCAAGGTCTCAAAATAACAGGCTAACTAAGTGTCCTAGAGATTTGTTCTCTAAGATTGGTAGTCTAAAGAGACAGTTGCTCGGTTGACTTGCAGTTCCATGTCTAGGTTATAGTTATATAACAGCTCCACAGATCTTATACAGCATAGATTAAAAAATAGTGTCATATGGTTTCTTTGTTATGAGTTTTTTTCTAAGTTGATTGTAAATCATTGTTAAAGAAAGAGCGAGGCTGATGAATAAAAAATTGATTTTAGCCAGTACATGAACATGAAAACTCACCTGCTTCTCTCAAGCCACAGTAGCCCTGTTTTCAGTGGAAGCTGTTTCACAGCTCTCAATCTGAACTGTATGTGCACTGATGAGACACATTTGCACTTCATATCTAGACCTAAGTGAGCTCTAGAAAGATGTCGAGGCATCATTTTGTCATGATATTTTTAGGTTCTTTGTGGCCAGTCTCCGCTATTTTCATGCAATAGAATTTTGGAATATTTGTCCTGATTCTATTCTAATCTTACATAATGATTATCTGCTATTGTAATTTGAAATATATACTGCATTTGCATTTGATTAAATCAAACTGCATTTGATTATATTTACAATTCTGAAACTATAATATTACTGTATGGTAATACACATTTCCTTGTGCAGTCCGATAAAGAAGACAAAGAAATTGTTTCTGAAGTTACTGAAAACAAGCAAGACACTGAAGATCCGAAAAGAGAGACAAAAGAGGTTCAAACAAGTGAAGTCAAAGTAGAAAGAGTGCTTCAGAAAACTCCTAAGAAGATCAGAATAGTACAGGCTAAAGTTGTGCTTTTGGATGGCACGGAATACAGTTGTGACCTTGAGGTAAGCTAGTGAGCTTTATTTTTTTCTTTAAGAGGAAGTAAGTGCAATATTTTTATAGAAATGAGGACTAAAACATGTGTTATGTTAAGAATATACAGCATCCCAATGCAAAGTCAATTTATATAAAATATAAGTATACAGTATATTTATATAAAATAATTTCAGTTTTAATTTTCTGTGTTTAATGATCCATAGCATGGAATTTTTCTTTTTAATAGTTGTCAACAATATTAATTTAGCCATTCACTATGACGCCAAAAGCATTTTTTCTGGTTACTTACAATCAATTCAGTCTTCATGTATGAATTTAGAGTTTTTACCCTAGTGTGCATCACTTTGTTTACTTAAACTGTATTTGTCATTTGGTAAACATTTACCAAATTAAAAAAAATATCCTTTTGGATTTTCTTCAGTCACTTGGTTCTTATGACCCCAGGCTGCTTAATATTATCCAGAAGTCAGTATCATTTAACCCATAATAAATATCCCATTTATCATTCATTCATAAGCCAACATCTTAAAAAGTACTGGCTCCAAGAAACTTCTTGTGTCCTATTAAAAAGTTACCCATTTAGTTATTCTTTTGTATTTTTATCCAATTAGCAATCCATAAAAAGCATTTTTTCTTATCCTATGACCACTAAGTTTCAGAACCACTGATGAATAACTTTGTTAAAGACGTTTTGAAAATCCAAGTATATAGTAACAGCAGGATTACCTCCATCCTGGTCCTATTGTTACTCTTAGAAAACTCTGAAAGGTTGGCGAATTAGGATTTGCTTATGCTGGTTTTTCTTCAACAAAGCTTGTTCTTCTATGAACCTATTTATTTTTTCTTTGATTACCACTTCTGTCAAGTGGCATAAAGCAGATGTTAAAGTGGCAGGGCTATAATTCCCTTTCCAGATCTTGCTAGCTCTCTTTAAAAACTGGTACTGCACTAGCTACCTTCAATTTCTTTGGCACTGAACCTGTTTTAAATGTTAAACCATATACTTTTGGAGAAGATTAGCAATTACCTTTGAAATTCAAATGGTTATTATATTGTACAACTGATTAATAATCAGTTCTTTCATTTGAGTTTGACATGCGTTTTTGCAGAAGATGCTCATATGTAATGTATAAAACAGCTTTTTAAAACTAGGTACCAGAATTTATTAATTTATTTAAAATCAGAATAAAGGTTTATAATGAATTTTATTTCAGCAGTACATTTTTATATAGTATAATAGTTTTTTATTTTCTATAGAGGAACATTTTTACCAGCCTTCTGAAATTCACAAGGAAGCCTTACCAAAGACTATTTCACAGCAATATATTTTTCTTTTCCTTGCATGTTAGAATTGCAGAAATTCTAACATGGATCACAATTCCTGATGGCATTGGGTATGTGAACAATTATTATAGAAGAGGGCAGATTTTTAAAAAATTATTCATAGAGATTAGTGTCAGTTCTATAAGTCTAGATTCTAAACCTTGCGGACCATTTACTGTGGGTTTTTTAAACTTGCAGCAGCTGTAGTTTGGGCCATCTTCAGTCAGGAAGACAAGATTACATTAATTTAATAATCCATTCTTGCTCATTGGATATATTTGATATCAAGGCAGCTTTCCTTGATAGTAATAGCAGACTTATATACCACTTTACAGTGCTTTATAGTCCTCTCCAAGTGGTTTACAGAGTCATCATATTGCCTCCAACAATCTGGGTCCTCATTTTACTGACCTCAGAAAGATGGAAGTCAACCTTGAGCTGGTCAGAATCAAACTCCTGGAGTGAGCAGTGAATTAGCCTGTAGTACTACATTCTAACCACTGCGCCACCACGGCTCTTTGCTCCCTAAATAGTCAGAAAATTACTGAGGATCTAGTAATCAACAGGAATACTACACTGTGGTGTTTATCTGGTATTCTATGTACAGTTGAATGAAGTGGGAAAAGGTACTTTTGTATTATTTGTTTTAGTCATTGATTGAAATACATGATGCATCAATTTATTTATTTAAAAACCTAAGTGCTTCCAGTTGTACATTTTGTGGCATATCTATTCACTACCACACTGTTTTGTTAATTCAAATATTAACGTTGATACTTGACATTTATGACTTGTATGAGGAGTCTATGTAACCTATTGGGTTTATCTCTATCACTTTCCTTTTATAAAAATGTTGTAAGTGTGTTTGTCCAAATTAAGGAACTTATTCTATCTCTGATGCTATTAAATATTTGAATTTTAAAAAAGAAGAGTTGCAACAAGTCAAATATATGATATATCTATATATATATTATATGAATATATAAATACAAGAATGCTGCTAGCTTCACAAATATACGTTTCAAACTATTGCCAGCTTCCTCTCTGCCCCCTTTTCCTTCTTATAGATGAATTGCCTTCAGTCTTATGGAAGAGGAATAAATGTTAAGGGAATGTTTAATATTTTCATTGCCCTATATTCTTGGTTATTTGCAGTTTAGTAGAACATAGTGTATAGTATTTGTTAATAAGTAGAAAATACTAAATCCAGTAATTGCACTTGTTCATTGAATTAAAATATCTAAATATATGTTTGAGATTATGTACAAGTTTTATCATAGTTCATTTTATGCACTCAGTCATATAACTATCAAGTCTAAAGAATGCCATAATGACATCTAGGCAGCTGACTTATTGTAAAATTTCTTTCCAAAGCAAATACAGTTTTCATTAGAGTGTTCTACACAGAGCATTCTGTTCTAATTAAAATGTTATGACAAGGACATTTAAATATGACTGAATGGCTATATTTTATGCACGTCTGAACAACTGAAGTGTATTGAGCATGACATAACTGTTTCAAGGATTTTGTAGTTTGCTTGATTGAAGTGCAAAAGTGCACTTGCTATCTTATAAAAAATTAAATGCTCAAGTACCATATGTCTTACAATTTGCCAGTGATTTCCTGGCTATAATAAGCTATATCAAGCATGTTTTTAAACAAATATTCTTAAGTCAATCTCATTATGTTCTGGCAAAATGCTAAAATAAAATGTTTTATTTATAGTTTAAAACTTATAAACTCTGTTTAAATTATTCCAAGTATTTTTCTTGTTTCAAACTCTGCGCACTTTCTATAAAAAGATTTGGTAATGATGAATATAGTGTTAAATTTGGAGACATAGCTATAATAACATAAAATGAAATAACATACTTGTTTTATTTTTATTTTGAACTTGAAATAGACTGAAGCTATATATAACATCTGTTCTGACAGTTTCACATCTATCTTTTAATACAAAATACAACTGAGAAGCTTAGAATTTAGTTCATGCCAGTTTTCTACTAAACATTGCCATTTTGCTAGTCCATGATACTAGTTTTAATGGCTCATTGCTCTGATTAAAGAGAATTTGTTTTATTTAAATCTTTTCTTATAAATCAGTTTTTAAATGATATATGATAGATTTAATATCAATATTTTCTCAGTACATTCCTAATAAAATTTTCAACAAAAGTATTTTTTTTTATTTGTGCCTTCAACAAAATACTATTACCGGTAATTAAATACTATCCAAGATTATAATGGTAATTTAATGCATGTATGTTGCAGAATTTTTGCTCAGAGAAGGGAGTTTTTGAATGGTAACCTGCCAAGTAAAATGATGTTTTTGAAACATAAGCTAAGGTTGTTAAATTAGATTTTATAAGTGCTGAGAGTCATTTGACAAAATAGTATTTATATTGAAATGGAAAATATCCAGGATTTTTACATACTAGAATCTTAAACATTATTATTTGGGAACCAAAAATGTAGCACCACAGTCACAAAATAAAAATACAGTACAAGATTTAACTGGTTATATACACTATGATTATCTTCTGGACATTGAAGAGTTAGTAGTTGTGAATTAAGTAGGAAGCATAATAGTAATAACAGTACATGGATTATGTGATTCTGTGATACCTAACTTCATAGCCAATTATATTTCACTCCTTTCTATCCCCTTTTTCAAGTCTCAATTTAATATGTTTGGCAGATAGATGTCCTTTTTAAAAAACAAGTCTAAACTGGAACTTTCCACATGTTTAATCCAATTTAAACCAGGTTACCTAAATATTTTGGATTTATTTTTTGTTTAAATTTTAAAGTCCTGTTTAAATGATAAATTGAAATGTAAGGTGACCAGCAAAACTCGGTAAAATCTCTTGAGCAATGAATACAAGTTAAAAAAACCATTTCCCCCCAAATTGTACCTGGGTATATTATTAGAAATAGTTTTGTGTTTCAGGGGTTATTTGCATTATTCCTTATGTTTCAGCTGATGGGATGTAATACTGAATGATCCAGTTAAAATTGTAAATGCTGAATATAAATTGAGCAGTTCAGTTCAGCATGAATGTGCTTTGATTTCTTTTGGACAACAGACAATGCTTTTATTGAGCTTGGTAATTTTATTGCATACCTTTTCTCCCTTGTCCTTTGTATTTGTACACTGTTTCTCACAACTACTGTGTGGCACATAGCTCAACAGCATAGATAATTTGTTCAGTTTAGAGCTTTCTGTCTCTGACTGTCAGGCACAATAACTTTAGTGTTGCAAGAGCCTACACATAGGCACTTGGAGGGACTTCTCTGGAATTGCAGTGGCGTCTACCGAAATCTGCGTGATAAGCAATTGCAAAAATGCCTTTCGGTTGCCAGGTCTCAAAAATGTCACATTATAGTTGCTTTTAAAATGCCATAAATAGCCAAATTGGGATGTAGGACTTGTTTGAAAATGAAAGGCACCATACTGCACCTCTTGATTTCTTCCAGTAGCAGACACTATTTCAATGTTTCAACAAATCTGGAAAAACCAGAGAGGCGACTTGTCTGGTCTCATTTATTAATTCAAATCAAACTACAGTACTTTGAATGCCCCAAATTTTCCCTTTTGATTGTTTACACCCAGTGTTATATATCGTGCTGCATTTCATTAGTATCAATAATTAATAAAGCTATTACTATTTAACAGTACTAATTATTAATTTACTATTAATAAAATTATATTCAGTATTTGATCCAGAAGAAAGAAAAACCTAAGAACAAAGCTTTTGAAATGTTATCTGTTTGCCTGTTGTGTACCTTTTGCTGCCCCAAAGTATTTAAAACAGTAATACAATTTTCTCTGACATTCCATGTCATATGGAAATATGAAAAATCATATGATCACAAAAGCAGTTATTTCTGATAGATTTCTTCTGTCAGAATCTTATGCCCTATATTCTTTAAAATGTTGTTAAACTAGTTATTCTTTTTATTTTTATGTAGTTGGGGGAGTGTCTCTTTTGTTAAAGTGACTTGAAAAATGTTGGTTCTTTCATGTTTCACTTAGCCTCTCTGAATCATTCTAGTAACTTTTATTATCTTCTAATTCATTCAAGTTTTATTGGGGCTATATGGTTATGGTTGAGAGTGCATCTGAAGGTTATATTTAATGCAGAAAGAAAAAGAAAACTAATGAACTGAAATAAGATTCTATAAATCACTTCATTACAAATCTAACATTAGACAATAGTACATTGATGGCTAACAGTTGTTTTAAATGTTTAAATCAAAATCATTAGATGTTTAAATCAAAGAGCAAAAATAATGAGGCTTTTGCTAGCTACCAAGATATCAGATAATTCAAGCCTGAGTATGTAGCAAAACTCCTTAGTTTCATTTTTGTGTGAAAGCCTTACTAAGTACTAGGCAAAATATAACAGAAATCAGTTGAGCAGTTTAGTTAGTGCTGAGATAACCATGAGTTGTTATACCAAAATATGGAGAAATGTCAGAGATAAATCTTTTAAGCTGTAAAGAAGTATATTAAAACTTTACTTTGGAATTTTGATTTTATGGTTAGTAAACAATCTAATAGTCAAATGTATTTTGTAGACAGCTTTGTAGACAGTTTTGAATTGTATTAATGGCCAAGTAGGTTCTTAAGTATTTGTTATAGTGTGATGCATTTAACTGTTCTTTTGTTTTGGGGGATTTATTATGCAAAAATTACAAAACACTATTGACAGCAATATAGTTCCTTATCCATTAAATGTAATGTATTAATCTTTGACTTACAATAATGGAGTCTGGCCAATCCAATTTTACAAGTTTTTTTTGTGATACTGGTTAAGTGAATAACCATGGCATGTGTTTACCAAAATTGGAACTAAAGATGGTTGTTTGACAAAAAGTCATAAAGTGTGCTCACATGACCACGGGACACTGCAAACAACCACAAATGGTTGTTTGTTCAGTTGCCAAGTTCCTGAAATGCAGTCTTGTGACCGTGGAAATGTGTGGTACTCAGAACTCTGGATTGTAAGTCACTTTTGTGTGTCCCATTGTAACTTCGAACTGTTGCTAAGTGATAGTCGTAAGTCAAGGACTATCTGTACTTGATAATTAGCAAGTACTCAGATAACAAACTATATATTTGATTCCTTTAAAAAAAAAGTTTTAAAAGACATTAACGATTTCTAAATACACACCAGTATTTCAGGATTTTAAGAATTACAGCTGATTTTTCATTTTTCCTACTTAAATTTTAGTTATCTAAATAAATATCTCCTCTCCATTGGTTTTAATCAGTGCTTTCCTATATGCTGGGTATAGACTATGAAGCATCTACTCCCTTTTGATTTATTTTCTGAAATAACAAATTGAAACCATGATAACAAATACAGAGTAGTTTTCTTTGGTATAGGTGTGTTTTAAAATAAAATATACGTAGCATTGTATTATACACATGTTTCATTGATTTACCCTATTTTTTCCTAGAAAAAAGCAAAAGGGCAGGTGTTGTTTGAAAAAGTATGTGAGCATCTTAACCTACTAGAAAGGGACTATTTTGGCTTGTTGTTCCAAGACCACACAGATCAGAAGGTATGTACTAAATGTGTAAAAATGACTTCTAAAAGATTGGGAACTTCTGTAATTTATGGAATTTTGTTACTGAACATTAAGTCTTTTAAAGTCCAGACCCTCAGATTTGTGAGCAGAAGAGGGGTAAATATAATGCTATCTCTTGTTGTCATACTTTGAACTGAGCAATTTTTCCATGGATGGGGAGGAGGGGAGAGAGGAGGCACACACAACCTAAAACCTTGCATGTGCAGTTTACAGTAGGGTTCGCGCTTCTATGAGAATCTAATGCCTGATGATTTGAGATGGAGCTGAGTTGCAGCTGCAAATACAGATCAAGCTTCGCTCGCTTGCCCGCCATTCACCTCCAGCTGTGCAGCTGATTCCTAACAGCCACAGACCAATACTGGTCCATGGCCCGGGAGTTGGGGACTCCTGGCCTAGATGCTGTATGGATGTGATCAGCTGAAATAGAGAATGCTGACTGAAAGCACTTGAACTCTAATTTTTACTTTTGTTTTAAAAATATATTTGCAATAAATACCATCATCATTGTTAGAGCAATTAATTAAAATGTAACACAAATCTAAAACAAATAAACTGCCTCAAGCACATAGATCTAGAGAGATTTCTGAAGACGTTTAGGGAATATCTCAACAGTTTGGTCAAATTCTGTTATTTTTATAAGGAGCCTTTCTTTCTTATTCATTTTGATTGGCTCCTTGGTTTATTAAGGAGTTCAAGAGACAAAGTGACAGTAAATCTGACTGAGTATGGCTACAAACTCAGGGTCAGATCTACATTATGATAGTAATAGAAGCATTGATGAGCTGTTGACCGATTGACTTGTTTAGGGTGGCATCTCCCAGTTTGGGAGAGTGTTATCTTCCACTTCTCAGCTTTGACAGTTTTTCACAGCACTTTGTCAACACAGTGATTCAAATCTTCCAGAGGTTGAATTCTCCCTGTGACTATCTAGTCTATAACATTAACTGGAATGACATTTTAGTTTGTAGAGTCTAGCTTAGCTTTTAGCTCGTAGAGTCTTAGAAAGTAGATAGTATGAGTATTTTACTAGTATGCAGAAGGCAATAAAAAGATATACATGTTTTCCAAGAAAAACCTGCATTTCAAAGGTTTTTCATAGAAAAAAAGTATCCTATATATGAATAATTAATTGTGAAAGCTAGATTTTCTGCTTTGTAAAGGATTAAGTTTATTTCATTATTATTTTAATTGGAGTTCTATGTTTACAGAGATATTGAACATCAGTATGCTTATATGACTAAGTCTGGAACTATTATTTTCATGAACTAGCACAGAAAAAGCAGTATCTGTAGAAAAACAATTTATAAGGAGAAAGACAGTAGAGGGCAATCTAATCTAAAAGGAAATTCTCTCATGTTATCTGCATATTTGAAGAAGCAATTAAATTATGTTTTATGACCATAAAATCTAATATCGTTGAAAAAAAATTATAGACACTCGAGGTCTTTGTATTTTTTTCTTTTTAAAAAACTTTTTTATGCCCTTTCACTTGCTCATGAAAAGACAGTGATTTATGCAGGAGAAAGTGTTGGTAAATAAACATAGCTAGCTCACTAGCAATCCTCAGCTAGAGAGAAAACTGCAGACAGAAAAATATGAGATATATCTCGTTTTCATTTTATAGTCTTAGTAAAAAAGCAAATAGTTTGCTAGTATATATAGATAATAATTTTACATTGTCAGTTAATATAGGCACAGGGAACATCAGTCTCAGAGTTTTCCATCTGGTTTGCAACGTTATCCTCTCTTTTCTATCTTTGATGTCCATCTCCTATCCTGAGAGAAAGGGCAAGAGTCATCTTTCTGCTCAGCAACTTATCCAAGATAAAAATTGTTCCTTATTCATATTTTATTTATTTATTTTTTTATTATTAAATTTATATACCGCCCTATCTCCCTTGCGGGACTCAGGGCAGTGAACAGGCGATACTAAAAACCATGGTAATAAATAGTTTGTTTTAAAATCGAATTAAATAACGGGCCTGTTCTAAAAACACACCCGTAAAAAACCCCCCACTGAAACATAATCAAGCTCCGCCAGGCCGGACGCACGGAATAGATGGGCCTTCAGGGCTCGGCGAAAAAGGCGCAAGTCCGCAACTGTACGTAGGTCGGGGAGTAGGTCATTCCAGAGGGCAGGAGCTGCCACAGAGAAGGCTCTCCCCCTGGGGGTCGCCAGCTGGCCCTCTCTGTGGGAGCGGACTGGCCGAAGGGAGGTGTTTGGTAGGAGGCGGTCTTGCAAATACCTAGGTCCATTGCTATGGAGCGCTTTAAAAGTTGTTACTAACACCTTGAAGCGCACCCGGAAGGCCACCGGCAGCCAGTGCAGCTCGCGCAGGAGAGATGTTACATGGGAGCATCTAGAGGCCCCCAAAATCCCCTGCGCAGCTGCATTCTGAACTAGCTGGAGCCTCCGGGTGCACCTCAAGGGGAGCCCCATGTAGAGAGCATTGCAATAGTCCAGGCGGGAAACAACGAGGGCTTGAGTGACTGTGCGTAGGGCGTCCCGATCCAGAAAGGGGCGCAACTGGCGTATCAGGTGAGCCTGATGAAAAGCCCCCTGGCCACGGCCGTCACATGATCGTCTAAAGACAGCCGAGCATCCAGGAGGATGCCCAGGTTGCGAGCCCTCTCCGTGGGGGCTAATGACTCGCCCCCGATAGCCAGAGATGGAACCAACTGGCTATGACGTGACGCCGGAAACCACAGCCACTCGGTCTTGGACGGGTTGAGACGAAGCCTGTTCCTCCCCATCCAGACTCGCACGGCCTCCAAGCACCGGGACATCACTTCCGTGGCATCGTTGGGGTGGTCCGGGGTGGAGATGTACAGCTCTAAGTCACCACTGGAGGGAGGGAACAAATGAAAAAGCATCAGCACAACACTGCTTTCATCAACATGAAAATCTTAAAATAAGTCAAAATGATGAAAGTATTAGATCCTGTAGATACCGTATTTTCCGGCGTATAAGACGAGTTTCTAAACCCTGAAAATCTTCTCAAAAGTCGGGGGTCGTCTTATATGCCCGGTCATCTTATACGCTGGAAAATCTGGGTATTCTATTTTATTCCTTTATATAAGCTGAGGATGCGATGGGGGCGGCGGCCAGGAGCCGCTGCCTCCCGTCCTGCTCCCCCTCCCCACCTGTTCAGCTGAGGACGTGATGGGGGTGGCGGCTGGGACCTGTTGCCTCCCGTCCTGCTCCCCCTCCCCACCTGTTCAGCTGAGGATGCGATGGGGGTGGCGGCCGGGAACCGCTGCCTCCCGTCCTGCTCCCCCTCCCTCCCATTCGGCTGAGGATGCGGCGGCCAGGCTGGGGGCGGCGTGGACTCCCGACGATGCTGCAGTGGTTGCTGCCGTGCCGCCGCCGCCGCCACTGAAGCCGCTGCCTCCCGTCCTGCTCCCCCTCCCTGCCCGTTCGGTGCCGTCTGCCTTTCATTCTCTCTCTCTCTCTCTCCTAACCTGGAGGGAGAGGGAAAGAGAGAAAGAGGAAATAAAGAGAAGAGAAAGAGGAAAGAGAAAGAGAAGAGAGAGAGAAAGAGGAAAGAGAAAGAGGAAAGAAAGAGAAGAGAAAGAGAGAAAGAGAGGAAAGAGGGAAAGAAAAGAGGAGAGAAAGAGAGGAAAGAGGGAAAGAAAAGAGGAGAGAAAGAGAGGAAAGAGAGAGAAAGTTAGAGGAAAGAGAAAGGAAGAGAAAGAGAAAGAGAGAGGAAAGAGAAAGAGAAAGAGAAGAGAGAAAGAGAAAGAAGAGAGAGGAAAGAAAGAGGAAAAGAAAGAGAGGAAAGAGAAAGAGAGAGAAAGAGAAGAGAGGAAAGAGGAAAGAGAGAGGAAAGAGAAAGAGATAAAGAGGAAAGAGAGGGGGGAGAGGAAAGAGAAAAAGAGAGGAAAGGGAGAGAAGGAGAGGAAAGAGAGAGAGAAAGAGAGGAAAGAGAGAAAGGAAGGGGGAGAGGAAAGAGAAAATGAGGAAAGAGAAAAAAGATTGAGAAAAGAGAGGAAAGAGAGAAAGGAAAGAGAAGAGAAAGAGAGGAAAGAGAAAGAGAGGAAAGAGGAAAGAGAGAGACAAAGAAAGAGAGGAAAGAGAGAGAGAAAGTTAGAGGAAAGAGAAAGAGAGAGGAAAGAGAGAGAAAGTTAGAGGAAAGAAAGGAAAGAGAGAGGAAAGAGAGAGACCCTTTTGACATCTAAAATGAAGATAACACTGCATATATCCTTTTTTACCTTTATTTTATATATACACACACAAATATATATATATATACACACACACACACATGCTGTATATCATAAAGGTAAAAAAGGATATATGCAGTCTTATCTTCATTTTAGATATCAAAAGGGTTTTGCAGCTCCCAGTGTTTTGTTTTCGGTGGGAAACGTGTCCAAGTGGCTCTTTGAGTGTTTTGGGTTGCCTACCCCTGATATAGCCCAAACTCTATAATTTTAACTGGAAAAGTTGGGGGTCGTCTTATACGCACAGTTGTCTTACACGCCGGAAAATACGGTACCTCTGCCCGCACATAATGTTAAAATTGCCTCATCGATCTATGACTTATTTAAGACCATATTTTAAAGAAATACACCTCTCTTAAAAATTACAGTGAGAGAATTTGAACAATATAGTCAGTTGTGTGAATATTATCTTATGAGTTTCAGTAACATTTTATAATTGTATAGCAAACAGTAATCTTTTACTTTTGCAGAATGAAAGAAAACTATTTTGAATACTCAGAGCCTACCATTGATAGGTAGTGAAGTATATGGAAATTTGACATTTTTTTAATGAATGAAAAAATTAAAGCAAAAGAAAGTAAAAAAAATATGATGTAATTCAATTTAAATCCTGATCTCTTTGAGAGCCCTCCTGGATTCTCAGATCCTGGCTCAGACAGCAAATGGCAGTAATGGCCAGGAAGGCCTTTGAACAAATTTATCTTGTGCAACAATTGCATCCTTGGCAGGCCATTCTCACAGTGACTCATACCTTAATCCAGACATGTCAAACACAAGGTCCAGGGGCCAGATGCGGCCCGCGAAGTGGTTTCATGTGGCCCGTGAAGCCATCCTGAAACAGTGAGGGAACGGCCCCCGTTGCCTTGGCCCTGGCCCAGGTTGGCTGGGAGCCAATGTACAATTTTGTGGTGGCCATCTATGCTGAAATGCATTCAGTCTTAGCTCCACAAGGCCATCCAGAAACAGCAAGAAACCAGCCCCTGCTGCGTTGGCCCCTCCCCCTGGGTGCATGCTGGGGAGGTGTCACCATTTGTGAGGAATGAAGAAATGGACCATGCCTTGGCGCTTGCCCTGGTCCCATCTCCTTCTGCCAGAGACCCTCATATCTGTCCCACTCCTGCCCAAGCTCCCACAGGCACCCTTGACGCAAACAATGTAGAGCTGGCCCTGCCCACCCAGTAGGCCACACCCACTCCATCCACGCCCACCCAGTAGGCTGCACCCACCCTGGCCACACCCACCCAGCCCCCCAAGGGCAACCGCAATGCTGATGCGGCCCTCAGTGAAATTGAGTTTGACACCCCTGTCTTAATCACTTCACGCTCAAATCCTGTGTAATGTTCTACACAAGGGGTGTCAAACTGCCGGCCCACGGGCCGGATGCGTCATGCCAAAATCGCGCCCACCCCAGCCCTGGCAATGGGGAAAACGTTGTGATATGTTGCAACATGTCACGTGACATTGCGAGTTTGAAACCCCTCTTCTACATGGTGCTTCCCCTGAAGATCACTCAAGATGTCACAACTGGTTTAGAACGTGGCTACACAAACAGCTGTGCCTTTTTTCCCATGTAACATTTCTACTCTACCAGCTTTAGAGGATACTAGCTGGTTTCAGCATATTCAGTTCAGCATATTCTCTCTTATTGAGCACTGAGTGGCCTAGGACTTGGTTATCTACATGGCAGTCTTTCTCTTGTCATCTCTCCCTGTTCAATAAAATCTCTAAGGGTTGGCACATTTCACATCCCAATTATAAAGTACTGTGATCTTGTGGGACTTAGGCAATATTTATTTATTTTATTTGTTAAATTTATTTGCCTCCTCTCTCGCTGTGGGACTACTCCATACATTCTCTGTAGCTGTATTGTCTTGTGAAACAATGAGCTTCATGTGACCCCAGTGCTGTTGAGATTTTTAAAGTCGTGGATATCTGACTCTTCCAATACAGATACAAGTGGTTCATTGATTTACTCACTGGCAGTTTATTTCTTTTTGTTAACAATAGTTTAAAGTTGGTGAATTTCTAGGATGTGCGGCCATCTATTATTATCAGTTTTTGTATTTTATTACTTCTGTAGAAGTTTAAATCCTAACATGTAAACCCAAATTTTCTTCAGTGGTTGAGGCAGTTTAGAAACCGATAGATGAAAAATTCTCAGAATATTATATACTGATTTTGAATGAATCAATAATAGTTACATTATAAAATACACATTAAATGTTTTATTTCTCATTATGTGTCATTTCTGTTTTTAGAATTGGCTTGATTCTTCAAAAGAAATCAAGAAGCAAGTTCATAGTAAGTGCTCTAGTCATATCTCTTACCGTCACGCTACAGGTAGTCCTTGATAATATGACTGTTCATTTAACAATAATCTGGAATTACAATGGCCTCAGAAAGGGTGCTTTAGAGCCTGTAAATTATTTCTGGTTGTCACATAATGTTGCATCAATAACTCCCATGGTCACGTGATTGTGATATGGATGCTTGTTCTCACAGCTGGTTGCTAAGTGCTGCACGATCATGTGATTGCCATTTGCATTCTTTCTTGCTGGATTCCCCAAAAAAATCCTTCTTATCTCTGGGGGCTAGAAGCTGAATTCTTTTAGTAGGGGTGCAGAAATGGATCTGAACGAGTTATCTTCCATGCACTGGGTTTGGATTTCAGCTCCCTCTTGTTTCTGGAGGATGGCTGAAAATGCTACCTGCCAAAGGATTTTGTCTCCCCTCTATGCATGGGGTATAAAAATGGGGCTGAAATCATGAGTTTTTCTTTTTCTTTGTTTTTATTGCCTAAATACAAAAAACAGGTGGCTCCCTTCTATGCTTTAAGGCTTAGATTATATTTAATTTTGTCAAACTTCCTCATGTAATGTTGCATTTTAAATAAGACTTTTATAATAAAGCCACAAGTTAATATAATAAAAAGTTGCAGAAGTTTATAATACTGTATTTACTATATTTATAAGTATGTTAAGATTAAGATTGCTAGAAATCTTCATCAGTGTGTGCAGTATTAAATGATCTAGATCTTTCAGTCTAAATAAGAAGAAATAGATTAAATCTTTATCAATCTATAATGTCTTAGGATCTGGTGAATTTTCCAAGTCATCTGTTAGAAAAGTTCCTAGAAAAATCTGGCTTTTGAAAAGTGAACAGATGCAAATACTTTATTAGTCTGGCACAATACTCCAAAGCTCATTTGGTAAAACTGCATAATCTAATCTGGTATTAGTACAATGTCTGTTAATCCTATTTTGATTTTCATACAAAGAATGCAATACATTTTTCTCCTCCTTTGTAACTTTTGTGATTGGAACATACTTACCAAGTTGCCTGTTACCTTACCTTTAGCTAAATACATTTCTTTCATTTTGGTATATTTTAGGTGTATTTATTATGAGCATTTTGTAAGAGTTGTGAAGCTGCTCATAAGGTGTTTTGCAGACCAATAAACAATATGTACAGCGACCGTTGTTCTCCATGCTTTTTGCCTCCTTTTTGTATATTTATGCATGTGGAAAATGATGAAAGGGCTTTTGTGCATGTTTATAGTACTTGTTTCACAGTCTCATTATCCACTGTTGTTCATTTGGAACAGAAGCACTGCAAATGGGTGCCACCTGTACAGTCTCTTTTAATGATTTGCTTGTATAGCAGCTCGGCAGTTTTAACAATTCATTGTTCTGAAGCTACACTGTTGATTATCAATAGAATAGCCTTAGACAGACCAATCAAATATTTTTAAAATATTTGCAATATGAGAACGAATATCATTACTGAAAAATAATGAAACATATAAAATTTAGAAAAATAAAAAATAGACATAAAAATATGGAGAGGTGGAGGGAGAAGTGAAAGAAATTGGCCTCCTTTAATCATAAGCAATGGTTTTCATCTCTGATAATGATTCATATTCTGTTTTAGAGATGACCTCCCATGTACCTTTGTTAAAACCAAAGGTATTGCTCAAGTTCCTTAAATAATCAGTCATCAATAAAAATCAATATTGAAATAGATTAACATTCTCAGAATTGGCTCCAGAAGACATCCAATTTGTGGAATCTCCTTTTTCTATTTCAGAATTCTCTGAAGTTTTCAATACTATTCAGAATGGAAAATCATCTGGCCCTGATGGATTGAAAGGAGATTTTATAAAGAATTTAAAGAGATTTTAATACCTGAATTTTTATTTTTATGCAATACTTTGCACCAAGGGAATCCTTTACTAGAGTTTTGGAAACAGTCTAATATAATTTTGATCCTTAAGTTGGGCAAAGATTTCCAGGATTTGGCACCATATAGGCCTATTTCACTTCTTAACCTGGGCTGTAAACTGTACATTAAACTGTTAGCTTACCAACTGATTATAGGTAAAATTATTCTTATGGATCAATTTGTTTTATTTCAAGTCGAAATACATCTGCGCCATCAAGAAATTGTTAAACATTATGCAGTGTAGTAAAATTAATCTTCCCTAGCTATTTGTTATTTAGATATATTAAAGGTTTTGATTCTCTGCAAATACAATTTTTAAAATATATTAATTAAACATAAACTTGTAGCTGGCTTTTATAAAATGATTGAACATATTTATGGACCAACTGAAGTTCAGATAAGACTTAATAATTATGATTCAGATCCCATTACAAATATAAGAGACACCAACAGTGTTGCTCTTTATCACCTTTATTATCCAACCTAGCCACAGAAGTGTTAGCAATAGCATTTAGATCCAGTAATCAGATTTGTGGGATGAAAAGGAGGGGGGGGAGACATAGCTTTTAAATCTATTTTCAGATTTTGACTTTCTTGAACAATTCTTACTTAGCCACTAAGAAGGAACTAAAGGAATTTGCAGAGGTGCCAGGACAATAAGTTAATTTTCATCAATCACATCTGATGCTTTTTCATACTCTCCCAAAAGGAAATTTTCATATTCTTAGAGATTCCAATTATATAAATATTTTTAAAATATTTACAATTTGCTATTACTAAAATATCAATAATACCTATATATTATTCATCTATCTATTATTTTGTATTATTCATACAAAAAACTATATACAGTACCAGCATACAAGAAATTAAGAAATGGAAATTGGGCTTTAAAATATTTCAATGTTTTAGATGAATTGCAGCAGTAAAGATGAAGATGTTATATGGCTTATCTTTTTATTTCAGTGCCTTCCAGTGGTAATTCCAGTACAGGCTTTAAGACATTGGGATGGGGGCAGGGGGAAGAATGTTTATGCTTTCATGCAAAATAATTGAGAGTAAATAAAAGGATTCTATATACCCCAGGCCACCCCAACGATGCCCTTGATGTGATGACCCGTTGCCTGGAGGCCGTAAGGGTCTGGATGGGGAGGAACAGACTCAGGCTCAACCCTTCCAAGACCGAGTGGCTGTGGCTGCCGGCACCGCGGCATAGTCAGCTGACTCCATCGCTGACTATAGGGGGCGAAATTCTGGCCCCCTCGGAGAGGGTGCGCAATCTGGGGGTCCTCCTGGATTCGCGGCTGA